GCCGCGCGCGCCCCTCGCAGTCTGGGGACAGGGGCGGGTCTGGGGTGGAGGAGACAACTCTGAGGAGAATGTGGTCCCCCGCGGGGCTGGTGGAGTTGCTGCCGTCCGTCCGGTGAGGATGCTGCTGCCGGGGGCACGGTGACGCTTGGGGGAAGAGTAAACAGCCACCCTTAGCCAGCGCGTGCTGTCAGGCCCAGGCTAGACAGGGAACTTCACCACCCTGCTTGGCAGGACTGCTACCCCATTCTACCGACCAGGCAACCGAGGCCCAGAGTGATCCGGCGCCTTTGGTGCCCAAGGTCATATAGCTGGGTAATTTGAACTCAAGTAGCCTTGACAGTCCAGTCCAGGTTCTTAACAGTTAGGTCATAGGCTCTCCAACTTGGATGCATGGTAAAATCACTTGGGGAGTTTTGAAAAAAATTTCAGGTGCCACAGCACCCCAAACTAATTAAACTACCACGCCTAGAGGGTAGAGGGGAGCCAAATACCAGTATCTTTCTGGAGATCCCCTAGTGGCTCTGGGGTGTAGTAAGGTTTGGCAACTGTGAATGTAGGTAATTTTCATCCCAGAGTGCCTCTCCAGTTTAGCTGTGCAGGAGGATGCTTGTTAAAAGTGCGGATTTCATTGGCAGAGATTCATATTGATACCCCCCCCCCCCCAGCGCGCCCTTGTTCTATTGCTGGAACTCTGGGTTTTTCTGCTTCAGCCTCCTGAGTGCTAGGACTATAGCTGTATGCCACAAGAGAGCTTTCCTTAGGTCCCACCTCTTTGGTAGGTAGGCCTCTTTGAGGGTGAGAAGTAATTATGAATCCTTAGCTGAGCTTTTAAAAAGACATACACATCTCCTGCAAAAACTTTTGCTTTGCAATTTTCTTTAATATGCAGTACTCTGGTTATAGCTTCTCTTGCCTTTGGGCTTTTGCGTATACTCTTCTTTCTCTAAGACAGTCCTCCATTCTTTCTCAGCACTCTACCCAAACACATACACTATTTCTCTCATACACATAATCTTTTTGTCTGCTGCCTAGCTCTCAATATCCCCTCCACAACCCCTACCCACCTTCATTTTTCCTAACAGTCTTCGGCACTATCTTAGTGTAGCTTACCACTTATTTGTTTGTACTGTAGTTTTAGCTCTTCTTTGAGATTTTGATGGGCTTTCAGTTCAGGCAGGGACCATGTTTTTTTTGGTCACTATTTCTTGGAGTACTTTGACATAGAGGCAGACAAACCTTCTTTGAATACAGTGTTATAAGTCCCTTTATGTGACAGATGGATCTCATGCTGCAGAGACATGTTTCTATTTTTTTTTTTTTTAATATTTGATGTTCTTAGCACTGGAGTTTTGTTCTTTTTTCCTTAGGAGTACTCTAGTTAGGCTTATCCATTTATTCAGCAAATGAATAAAATGTTGAATTCTTATCCATGGCAAGGCACTATGTATGACTGTTCCAACAGCATTGGTTAGTTTACCTGGGTGAGGTGGCACACCTTTAATTCCAGCACCCTGGATTCAGAAGCAGGTGGATCTCTGGGAGTTCCAGGACAGCCCGTTCTGCACATTGAGTGCCAGGACAGCCATAGCTACATACAGAGACCTGCCTCAAAAAACCCCACCCACCCCACCAACACAGAAACAAACAAAAACATTGTTTGGGTTTTAATGTTAACTTCATCTCAGACAATCATTTCTGTGGTGGGAGACTTTTTATTGCCATTAGAGTTTTGCATGTGTTCCTTCCTCATCGTCTGAAAGGAGTATTGTCTAAAAGCTATTGCCTTGTGAGTATGTATAAATACAAGCAGATGGAATAACTCTCAGTTACAGTTCATCCCATTCAGTGGAGACAGAGTAAAACTTTAGTATCAGCAACGGACAAACTTGGTGTAATCTTATTACATCATGTCTGAACTGCCATTGCTGCACAGGTTTTCTAACTTTAAAGGAAGTCAAGGCAATAATTCACATTGCATCTGGTTTTGGTCCAGATGCATTTGGTTTTTAAGATTTATTTTTATGTGAATGGGAGTTTTGACTGCAGGCATGTGTGTGTACCATTTGGATGCCTGGTTCTTGCAGAGGCCAGAAGAGGGTATCAGATCCTCTGAAACTAAAGTTACAGAGAATTGTGAGCTTCCATGTGGTTGCTGGGAATTTAATCTGGGTCCTCTTTAAGAATAGCTAATAAGTGCTCTTAACCACTGATTCAACTCTGTAGCCCTTTGTTCTTGAGTAGTACTCTTGAAACTATATAAAATTAATGAAAGTAAGGAGGTTAAATATTATAGGAAGGTCATTATGAAGGAGTTTGTTTACAGTGAAAATCCCCCCCCCCCCACTTTTTATGTCGGTACTAGGAGTTGATCACAAGTGCTCTACCACTGTGTCTCCATTCACACACACACACACACACACACACACACACACACACACACTTTTTACTGAATAGGGTTTCACTATGTAGCCACGGCTATGTAGATCAGGTTGTCCTGAGATTTGTCTGCCTCTGCCTTCCAATGGATTAAGGCATGTGCCACCATACCTGGCTATATTTTTTACTTTGAAACAAGGTCATACCATGCTACCTGGGTTGATCTTGAACTTAGTCTGTATCCCAAGCAGGCCTGCAACTTAAGATCCTCCTGGCTCAACTTCCTGAGAAGCTGGGACTATAGGTGTGTACCAGCGTGCTTAGATGATATCCCCACCCACACACAGTTAAATGTGAAGTATGTAAATTGAATAAAAATACATATTTCATAAAATAATTTTTACAGTGTAACATTGTTAGGGGAAGGCTTTCTTGTCTCACTTATGTACTGTTTACTTGGTTTTTAGGCAGAGGCTAATATAGAAGGTGATGGGGCAAGAGGTGTTAAATTTAGCTGCTCAGGAAACTTGCCCTTGTTTCTCTGATCAGATATGAACAGAGTATCCAGTTCTGGTCTTGACACATGGAAGAAACTCAGTTTTTTTAAGCTTGAGGTTTAAGTCTTTAGTTAACTTCCAGTATATGGGTGAAATGTTCTCATGCTCAGTTAATGATCAGAAGTAGCTCTAATCACAATAACCTAAGACTTTGTCAAGAATTCTGTCTAATTTGAGGTACCTATCGGTATGTTATTGGCATGTACAAAGGTCTTGTAGACAGAATGAATGATTTCTTGCAGTATAAGACAGTTTTAAGCTGGATGTTCTGCTCACACCTGTAATCTCAGCTAAGACAAGAGGATTGGGCAAGTGTGAGGCCAGCCTGGGTCATATAGTGAGAGCCTGTCTCACCTCTCTCTTCCAAGATGAAGTTTTAAAATTAGTGTCTGAATAGTTTAGTTTTAACTTTTGTAGACGAGTTATCATTTCTAAAGCTATGTGGTGAGCTTCTGGCACATCCAGGACTGAAAAATGTCCTTCTCCTGATAGACTCTGTGTCCTATTCCACATCTCTGCTGTCCCTCATGTGAGATGTTCTTTTTGTTGAAAGAAGATTGGGGATGGGAAAAGTGGACAGAGTTATCTGCTGTATTTTAAGTTAGCCAGTTAGAAGTGTAGTGAACCTTTGTTATGTAAACTGAAGGTACTGAACATAAGACATAGCTTCTGGCCTTAAGAAATTCTATAGTTAGAATTGCAGTAAAAATAAAAGCATAGTATCTTAACCATCCCCATGAAATAGAATTATCTGTAATGTCTGAGCACTGTTTACTAGTTCTATTTGCCCACTAAACACTTTAAATGCAATAAAGGAACTGAGTTCTAAATTTATGCTTATCCATGCCAGTAGATATGAAACTGGGAATATCAGGCTAGAGACAATGATAGTTGTGATGGTGCTGGCTGGGAGCAGGCAGTGTATTCACATTTTCTTTCATAGACTAGCAAAACCCATCTGTTTTTATCTTTGGAAGAAATGCAGGCAGAACCTGTCTCTCCCTTGTAATTCAGGTGCTTGATAGGATCCTGAGCAGTTACTATCTGGTGCATAGGTGAGTCCATTGCTATTTTTTTAAGTGCCAGCTTGATGGATGTTTGCCTTGTGGAGTCATTGAGACCACAACAGAATTAAGAAATGTGGTCCTTCTGTCCAGTAACACTTTATTTACTCAGCACACTGCGCCCTCCCTAAATCCTGTTTTTCTCCAGAGGAACAGGCGTATCTTAATATGTACCTCTATTTATATGTCCTGAAGTTTGTTGACTTAGGCTGCTTTCTTTGATCCTTCTCTCTGGTTACTTTAGATAGGCACTGAAGGTGTTCTCCCTGTTTTAGAGACAGGGAGACTGAAAAATAAACATAGAGTGACTTGTCCAAGGTCATATGACGAGGCACAGATTCAGAAGCATTGCACCTTGAGGCAAGAAGTAGATTTTCTTGTCCCAACATTGCAGTTACTTGATGTGACCCTGAGCAAGTCATAGTCTTTTTCTGTAGACCAGGCTGGCCTTGAACTCAGAGATTTCCCTGCCTCTGCCTCTAGAGTGCTGGGACTAAAGGTGTGTGCCACCACCGCCTGGTGCAAGTCATAGTCTTATTTTGTTTGCTTTCCTAATGGCTAGTGAGTCTTCTAACTTAAGCATCTAGGGGAAATGCCATAAAATGAAGTAACATGTGAAAGTTCTTGGAAATTCATCAGTTACAGTTGCCTGGTGCAAGTCATAGTCTTATTTTGTTTGCTTTCCTAATGGCTAGTGAGTCTTCTAACTTAAGCATCTAGGGTAGTTGTAATAAAATGAAGTAACATGTGAAAGTTCTTGGAAATTCATCAGTTACAGTTACATTATTAAAGTCACATTATTATCAAGTTAAGATCTCTGGTGGTTCTAATATGCTGCCTTATAGCTAATTGTTCATTGTTCATATTAAATGCTATTATATGATGATGTCTCATTGATTTCTGTCTTCATCGTTATAAAACTTTGTCTTGGGCAGCCATCATGTTCTGTTTATACTGCACACCTAAATTCTAGGACAACCTGATGTGTACAGATGTTTAATAGTATTTGCTTAGTGACATAACTGATGTCTAGATTTACTTTAGAAAGTGTGCAAACAATTGTTCTTTTTAGTTTGACTTAAAGCTCTTTGGGAATAGTTTGATTATTATTATGG